CCGCCGGCTCCGGCACACGCAGCCCGAGCCCCCCTCCCCGCCGCCCCCGCCCCTCCTGCGCGCCGGCCACAGCGCCCCCACCTCTCGCTAGCTCGCTGGCTCTGCAGCCTCCACCCCCGAGTCGCGCGCTCCAGCCGCTTAGCCGCTTAGCCCCTCCCACCCAAGCCTCGGCCCTTCCGCCTCCTCGCCAGCCCCCACCCACACCGCCTCGAGGGCTATCCGCTGGAGGGGACGGCTGCCCTGGCCTCTTCCCGGACCCGGCTGTCGCTTTCGCCTCTTTGGGCTGGTCTGGGCGGGGTGTCCGATCTCTGGGCGATGCCCAGACAGTACCCTGCGCCAGAGGGTGCTGATGATCGCGACTGATTGGCCGAAGAGCTCGCCCAGGCCCTGCTGCGCCTCACATACAGCGTCCTGCCTTCCATGTGGCACAGGCTCTCTTATGTCCTCAGGCCCTGAGATTAGCCCTGGAGACCACCCCGCCGCCTGGTTCTTCCCCTGACTCTCTGCCCAGGCTCTCTCTAGCTGAGAGGCTGGGATGGGCTCTCGACTGCTATTTCCAGTTCTGAGTGCTTCCTCATCACTGGGCTCCTGGAAGTGACTCTGAACAACGACGTGTCCCCTCTAAATCTTCTTGTGTCCCCTCTAAATCTTCTTGTGTCCGGCCTCTCCTAAAAAGAGCCTCCTGCTGGACTAGGGAGGTTCACTGAATGCTGCTCGACCCCTTTGGTACATAAAGGAAGTAGAAGGAGGAATCAAACATGCCTTTCCCCCCCACCCACCCCATTCAAGAGACTTCCCAGAGTCCACATGACTTTCTTAATTTTCCTTGTCCTCACCTCTTTTATTCCATTCGGGGCCAAAGAGCTTCCTGCAACATCCCAATACCTCTACAACCCCATTGCCAAAGCTGTCTACAGTTCTACTAGCCTCCTCCCACCTTTCACCCACCCCTCCCACACATTTCCTAAAACTCACAAGAGGTGGCATGTGCAGAGCAGTGGTCTCAGCCAATAAATCTGTCAGGGATGTAGCAGGATATCTAGGGAACACATCATCCTTTTTGCAAACACTTCCACTTCCTGGGCCAAGCTGGACATTTCTCCAAGTATAAAGTTGTCCACCAATGGACCACCCACACACAACTCAGCAACATTACCTGGCCAGTCACCATTCCTGTTTCCTGTACTTCCCAAAGAACCATACAAGCTAATCAATATGGGGGTCTCTTGGGCTGTTGAGGGATGTGGGTTTCTACTTCCCTGTTATGACCTTGTCTTGTACCCTCTCTGGGCTTCGTCTGTAAAATATAGTGGCTAAACAGAAAACTTAGCTCTGATGTTCTGTAATACTAAAAGCAACAGCCAACATCTCTTTTAGATGCCTAATTAGAATTGACAGCAAGAAGTTGCACCAGGTATACCTCCTAAGAGGGACTTTAAGGGTAAAGAGCTCCTCTAGTGTGTTGCCCCAGCAACCAGCACACATTTGTTTCAGCACTGATGGGCTGTCTACACTTCTGTCTCCTTAATCAGCATATGAGCCACATGAGGGCAGGGAGAGGTCCTGATTCATCACTGTATTCCCAGCATCCTGCAAGATGCCGGGCATATAGTATATATTTAATATATGTTTGTATAATAAATGAATGATGGAAGAGAAGGAACTAGAGATAGATTACTTAGTTCTATATGTTATAAATCTAGACGGATGTTTCCAAGGCAACATTTGAGGTACTTGTGCTTACAAGTAGGAATCAGTTATGGGAAGACTAGGGTAGATTATTTTGAATTAAGACTGGCCTGTGGCCGGGCGTGGTGGCTCTCAGGCTGGGCATGGTGGCTCAGCCTAATCCCAGCACTTTGGGAGGCTGAGGTGAGAGGATTGCCTGAGTCCACAGGTTCGAGACCAGCCTGGGCAACTGATGAGACCTCGTCTCTACAATAAATCACAAAAACTAGCCGGATGTGGTGGCATGTGTCTGTAGTTACCAGCTACTTGGAAGACTGAGGCAGAAGGATCGCCTAAGTCCAGCAGGTGCAGGGTGCGGTAGCCGTGAGCATGCCCTGCATACCAGCCTGGGAGACAAGAGTGAGACTCCAACTCAAAAAAAAAAAAAAAAAAAGAGTGGACTGTAAAATCCAGAAAGTGAGATCTCTGTGGCTACAGAAGCCCAAAGGAAGGAGGGAAAATCCACATTGATCCATAGGCCAGGCTGGAATTCAACATCCTCTACACAGTAACATGCTCAATTTCCGAACCTAGGTTTGGGGTAGAGAGAGTATACTATACTAGGTAAGCAAATATCTAAAGTGTGAGACAGGCCGGGCTCGGTGGCTCAGCCTGTAATCCCAGCACTTTGGGAGGCCGAGGTGAGTGGATTGCCTGAGACCGTGGGTTTGAGACCAGCCAGGGTAACTCGGCGAGACCTAGTCTCTACAATAAATAAAAAATTAGCCAGGCGTGGTAGCGCACACCTGTAGTTCTGGCTACTTGGAAGACTGAGGTGGAAGTATCACTGAAGCCCAGTGGGTTGATGCTGGGGTGGCCATGAGTGTGCCACTGCACTCCAGCCTGGGTGACAGAGTGAGACTCCAACTCAAAAATAAATAAGTAAATAAAGTGTGAGACATATCTTCCATAGTTTCACACTTTTTAAAAAAACATCTAATTTATTCCTTATAATTGGCTTATGAGGTATGTTTTAGGAACAACACTTATGTTCAAAGAGATTCATTAACCTACCTAGGGTCATATAGCTGATAAGCATAGAATAAGGAACCTGGATTTGTGCCGGGTTCCAAAGTCCATGCTACTTTCCCAGTCCTGTAGTGGCCAGGTGGAGGAGGGGACCAAAGAAAGGGTCAGCTCTGGGCATGGGTATCCTTAGCCAGTGTCATGAGGTAGCCCATGGTTATTGAGTTCTGGGGTGAAGAGTCAATTTTGGGGTCCAAGATGCCTTCTGTCCTCTCTGACACAGGGGAATACCGGGGTAGGGGCCGCCGGAGCTCCCAGAACCTTCATCACTGACTGCATCGCGAACACTGGCGCTCTGACGTGCTCCAGCTGACGTTGGTGTCTGGAGTGACAGATGCCCTGGCTGTTGGCGGGGAAGGGGGCGGATCCGGCGGCAGCTCGAACCTCTGGGGGCTAGCACAACCCCCAGAGTCACCCCAGTCGGCTCCTTGGCGATCTGCGGGTGCAGGGCACAGCGGCCGAGTCCCGCACGTGTGGGTTCGCAGGGCGGAGGGAAAAGCGCGGCCCCAGACTACAAGTCCCACAATGCTTCGGGCCGCAGCGGCGGGGAAGGAGGGGTTCTTCAGGTGCCTGCGACCTCGGTGCCTCCTGCCCGGAAGTGCCCGAGGGGCCGAGATGGAGCTGGAGAAGCTGGGCGGTGAGTTCCCGCACCGCG